GCAGAAAGTAACTTGAGAAGTATTGCTTATTTAGGTATGCCTGCATCATCATATGAATATGCATGTGTATGCATTCTTTTCCCCTTCCCCTTTTTGTAGAACTGTATAAATATCAGGGAATCCATTTTGCCTATAGGGGAGTGTCTCCCACTAACCTTTGGTGGAGTCCCCCTCCATTACGTACTGTCTAATAAACACTGCAGTACAGCCTTGATCATTTTGCATTTATGTCCTGCATTTTGATTCCACATGAGTTACTAACTTTTGTATTCAGTCTACATTCATTCAGCAGCCAAATATTTTTGGCCAACTTTTTTTTTAATCTATTACTTTTTTAAATCTATCTTCTTAGCATCCTATTCCCATCCCATTCAGCTCTGACTTCCTTTTACAGGTAATCCTCGAGTTACAACCATTTGTTCAGCGACCATTCAGAGTTATGATGGCGCTGAATGAATGGTGGTTATGACCAATCCTCGGAGTTCTGGCCGTCCCAGCACCCCCATGGTCACATGATTGCAATTTGGGTGCTTGGCAACCAGCTCACACTTACGACCAGTTGCAGTGCACTGCGATCATGTGATCGCCATTTGCGACCTTCCCTGCCGGCTTCCCCAGAATCTCAATGGGGAAGCCAGCAGAGAAGGTTGCAAGTTGCTGGATTAAGTCTCCCCTACCCATGCACCCTCCTCCAGCCCCTCTGCGCTAGCACTGTGCCAGCCACTCACAAACCCCTGCACATCCTCCCCAACACCTTATGTTGATATGTATGTGTAAGTGAGATCTATATTCTTAACTTTAAGAATCACTGGCAGTGGTATGTTGACAAGAAGACATAGGGATTGAGCCCTTTAATCTGGAAAGGTGCCTAAATAATACCCTAGTTATTCTAAGAAAGCATCAGCTAGCCAATTGAGGCTGATGATAGGCATTGTTTTAATGCACAGAGGGTTTTTTTTTTTAACTATACAGCAAAAGTCCCAAGTAGTTCTTGAACTGGAAATATTTTGCCACTTGCACCTTCACTGTCTGTTTGGACCATTTCCTGCTACAGTAAAAATAAATAAATAGCCTCTGCAGCCTTATCTTGTGCTACTGCCTCCAGCAAACCAGGAAAAAGAAGACCAAATCAGAGAGGAAGATGATGGGAAGGCCAAGGGAACTGTGGGCAGAGAGTAGGAACAGGAGGTGGCAGACAGGAGGTAGCAGCAAGTAGGCAGAGGGAAGAGGAGGTAGTGGACAAGATTGGACACAGCAGTAGCAGGAAGAGGATCCTAAGGAACACATTTTAAAGGAGAAAAGTGAAGTCACTTCTAACAGGGTCATTGTTGTGAACCGTGAGATTATGGAAGAATAGTCTCTTGTATAGTACCGAGAGTCGTGTTGGAAATCTGAGAGTTGCCTCAGTAAGGAATAATGAAATAACACATTAGGAAACTAGTTGGTATGCTGTCCTTAAACCACTGTTCAGAAATATATTTCAATAATGTTATATATATGGTTAGAAAACATGAGAAATTGACTGTATAATGAATTTGAGGTTTTGTTTACTAGCATTTCTGTTACTTATTCTTTAGTCCAGGAGTTGTTTTTAAATTTCAGTTATCACTCTAAACCTGTAATGAATAGAAGGATTTAATATTTGCTGTGAATATAGATTTTTTTCCCTCCATATTACTAAATTATTAGCTGCCTTCAAGCTGTAATGTCTTTCCTGCTTCACATATATTAGGGCACTTCATGCGTTATATTCTAAAACAGAGATGGATAACAGTTTACCTGCCAAAAGTTGCTTAGCTTTAACTCCCAGTAACATAGTAAGTGGTGAGGGATGCTGGGAGTTGAAGTTTAGGAAAATTGGGGGCGGGGCAGATAAATCTCCCTCTTCTTTTCTAAAGAATAGATGTGAATGAAGCAAAGAGATATTTGAAGAATCAATTCCTTCTGTTACAAAGAGCTGTGCTGTGGTGTGTCTCTCAATTCTATTATAGGTAGTCTTTGTTTAGTGACTACAATTGGGACCAGCAACTCAGTCACTAAGCGAAGTGGTCGCTAAGTGGGAAATCACTTGACTTTGACTGTGCTTTCTGGCTCGAAACTGACAAGATTATTCAGTTTCACACCTTTTTGTTTGCTTCCTAACCACTTCCCTGCCCAGCGCCTGGGTGAGCATTCCAAAGAGATTCTGTAATGGCAATCACATGATGAGGGACAGCACTGTCGTAATTTTGAATGGCTGCTGAACAAGGCAGTTGGTAAGCGAGGACTACCTGTAATATTTAGTGGCAATTACAGATTGGCTATTTAATATGTATATCAAATGGTCTTATTACCAGCTGCATACATCTTCAGTGTACCCTATTTTTTTTCATGTTTTATAAAATCTTGAATATGAATCATAGTTATATTCTTTCTTTTGTCTGTATTTTTTTTGCCACATGGTGTAACACAAAGTCTTCTGCAGTCCAGGATTTTGAACTAGAATTGTATAGAAGAAGGCATAATACCTAATACTGATATGGAAGAAAGCCTTGTATGAGTTGCCCATGTATTATAAATCTAAGAAATGAATATGTCAAAACCATGTTGCAATATATTGATATATTTCTGAGTAATTTACAGTAGGTTACAAAAGATTTCCAATTATTGGTGGTTTGATTGTAGCAGCTATGGAAAGAAACATCTTTAATTAAACTGCTGAAATAGAAGAAAATTTGATGTAAAAACCCAGACTAGATACTTGTGTAAGAGGACTGTGAGCCAAGTCTTAACACTAAAAATACTTTCAACTTATCTCATCTTGTTTTACTGCATATACTTCTTAACTTACTTTTATATTTCCCCTGAAATAACCAGTGCATTTGCATATAACAAATTCGATATGAGCCTGTTCTTACAAATAACTAGTTTCTCTTGAAAGAACAAATATTCATTCCTCCAACGGACCACATATTATCACTACCTTTCATCTAGTGTTTACACAACTAAAAACGTCTCTGTCCGTTTTCCCATTTTTTGTAAATAATCTAACAAAGTACACAAATTTATTTACATGCTGTATTTTTTTTTGTTTTTTATGTATAATTTAAAATACTTCCTTCAGTTTTCCCTGTCAGACAGAACTATCTTGGTCTTTCGTTTATTAATTTTCAGATCCATACTCTTCATTGAATCACTTATGTCATACGGTCTATCATTTGCTACAAATCATTGGGGTTTTGGGCCAACAACATAGTATCATTGCATATAAAACTGTATGTAATATCATGTCCCCAAGACATCAGTGCAAATATTTCTTATGCATTTATTCATAATATATTATGAATAAAGGGGATATTACAAATCCTTCTCTTACTTCCTGCTCAGTATTGAATCATTCACTAAACATTCTGTTTTTTTCTCACACATGGTTTATTTCCATCATAGAACACTCTTATTGAAGTTACCTCCATTTTCACAAAAAATTCACCACTTCTCTATTTCCGTTGAAATTGGTCTGCATTTTTCCTTTCTCTTAATTTTAACCATGTGCTGGTCTCTGGCTACGTTCTTAGCAAGTATCTTTTTCTGATATACATGTTATACAATGCCTTTCACTCATTTTCATTTTTACCTATTTTTTTCTCTTCCACAACCTCTTTCATTTCATCATTCCACTAAACATTCTTTATTGTTCTTCCCATTAGTGTAATGCCATACACATCTGTGGAACTCTGTAATATAATCCTTTTCACTCTGTTCCAAACAGCCTCTACATTTTCTTTCCTTATATCTACTGTCCATTCTGTTGGGTTACCAATATGTCTTCTAGTACTTTTTCCTATGGAACTTCTACTTTCTCTTCCTGCAGTTCTATCTTTATTCTAAATTCTTTACCTCATAATACTCACAAGATATGTTCTGACCCACATTCAATAGCTCTCATCATCCTTACTTCTCTCAGCCTTTCATGATAAGCAATGAAAATAATTATACTTTTATATTATTTTCTTTGCCATGTTAATGTACAAACAAACATGTTTAAATGATGTAGTCAAAATATAGATCTTATTCGTTCTTGGGCCTCCAAATGATTTTCTGTACTCTCTTGTCTCATTCTCACTGATTCATTTATGCCATCTTGGAGAATAATTTTTCTTCTGGATCA